AAACCATTTCAGGTGACTACCTCTTGAAGCTCATGGAGAGAATGCCAAGAGTGTGCAAAGCAGTAATCAGAGCAAAGGGTGGCTATTTTGAAGAAACTAGAATATAAAACATGTTTTCAGTTATTTCACCTTTTTTTGTTAAGTACATAACTCCACATGTGTTCATTCATAGTTTTGATGCCTTCAGTGAGAATCTACAATGTAAATAGTCATGAAAATAAAGAAAACGCATTGAATGAGAAGGTGTGTCCAAACTTTTGGCCTGTACTGTATATATTTATATATACTTATTTTATAGATAAATATATAAAAATATAAAAAAAATATCCTGAGGAGTTCAGTGAAACAAAAGAATCTATGAATAATTAAAAAAATATTTACAGAGAATTTAAAAGACGAACAGCAGAGAGAATAAAAGATTTTAATCAGCGGTTAGTTTTACAGGCAGGTGAAACATAACGATAAGGAGCCTGTATGTGTGTGTTTGTGTGTGTTTGTGTGTGTGTGTGTGTGTGGCACTTCCTGTGGTGATGTCACAGCGTACATCACTTCCTCTGCACTCACTTCCTGTCTCTTGTTTTCCAGGGCATCATGCTGGTGTATGACATCACCAACGAGAAGTCTTTTGATAACATCAGGAACTGGATACGCAACATTGAGGAGGTAAGCCCCGCCTCCTTTCATGACATGACGTTATCACGTCACAGAGAGGTCATGTGACAGAGGCCAGAGGTCATGTGACAGAGGCCAGGTCACAGAGAGGTCATGTGACAGAGGCCAGAGGTCATGTGACAGTAATGACGTTCATGTTTGTTTTCAGCATGCGTCTTCAGACGTGGAGAGAATGGTTCTGGGAAACAAATGTGACATGAACGACAAGAGACAAGTGTCCAAGGAGAGAGGAGAGAAGGTCTGTACATTTCCTTTTATCATAGATATTATTAACAAACTTTATTTGTATAATAAGAGAAACAGGACATTGTGTTGTATATTAAACCTTATTAATGGAACACTTTTCTTAACTTTCTTGACAAAGTGATTTAAATTGACACAAACCAAAACATGATTAGAATCCCCGCCTGTGGTTGTATGACTCCGCCCACCAGTCCACCCTGTGATTGTATGACTCCGCCCACCAGTCCACCCTGTGGTTGTATGACTCCGCCCACCAGTCCAGTGTCTCTGACAGTCTCCATCCATGTCAGTGAAAACATGGATGCTTCACACACAGAAGATCTATACAATCAGCACAGTTTCAAGATTAGAGTCACCAATTCAGTATCTGACCAAATGTCTCCCCTTCTGTTCCTGAGATATGACGTTAA